TCACTCTTTTTTTTTTTTTTTTTTTTAATAATTTTTTTAAAGACTTATTTAGGGACCAGCAGTTGGCATAAAGACTATGTGGCTAAAATCCCATGTAATTAACTACGATTCGATTCCCAGACCTGGACCTGGTGGCTTAAACTCATACAGGGCACGAGTGTGTGCATGCCCAAGATCCTGAGAGAATGGAGGAAAAGGGATTGCAGTGTTGCCATCCCCTCCCAGGGAGTAATTTCTCGCTTTCTGTCTCTCTGTCTCTCTCTGTCTTTTTGGCAAACACACGCACCCTATAGCAAAATCCTGTCCCCCCCCCAAAAAAAAAGATTAATTTTATTTATGTATTTATTTCTTTATTTATTTTAATTTGACTAGAGAGAGACACAGAGAGAAAGTGAGAAAGCAAGCCACCAGGTCCAGGACTTGAACCATGGTCCACCATGTGGGAGTATCCAGCACCTTAACCACCACACCACCTGCTGGTCTCAACTCTCCCAGTGTTTTTTAAAAAAGCAGGTATTATTGGGACCAGCAGGTGGCATGGTTAAGGCAGCTAAACTCCCACATGGCTGACTGTGGTTCAAGTCCCAGATCTGGCAGCTTGCTTTCTTACTTTCGTTCTCTCTCTTGTCTCTCTTTGGTCAACTTCAAAGAAATAAGATAAAATAGTGACAGTGGGGTCCGGTAGGTGGTGTGGTGACTAAGGGTGCTGGACTCCTACATGGCCAACTGCAGTTTGAGTCTGGGACCTGGCATCTCTCTCTCTCTCTCTCTTTCTCTCTCTCTCTCTTTCTCTGGTCAAATTAAAATAAATAAGTAAAGTTAAATGAAATAATTCTTAAATAGAATAAATGACAATGGATAAAATTAAATTAAAATAATTCTTTAAAGAAATCATTATTTGTTCCACCAATATTGGTTGATTGTTTCTCAATGATAGATACTATATCAGAATCAAAAATAAAAGATTCTTTCTGCCTTCGTGTCCCTCATAGTTTATAGGGGGAATAGGTTAATAAATACTATGCATTAAATGCTCTAATAGATTTATAAAATTCCAAGGTGGCAGAATGAGGCAGTGATCACATCAAGGGGGCACACTAGAGATGCTATTCAGAGAAGGTCATATAGCCAGGATTCCATCTGAACTAGGTCTTAGATGATGATGAATAGAAAGAGGAAGGGAGATCCTGGCAGAGGGGATGGTGTAAAGGAGGGATGAAGCACAGGGAGTCCGGTAGAACTACAAGTAGTTTGATGTGGCTAGACTATGAAGTGGTGGGGGGAAGAGTTAGAAAGGAGGCGGAAAGAGTTAGAAAGTAGGCAGAGGAGCCAGGTGCTGGAGAGTCTTTATGTCGTACGTCTTGTGAAGCCTAACCTCTTCATTGCCTTCTCTGAATAATAACCCAAGCAAGAGAAGAGAAATGATCAGATGAGGCAAAGCACATACCTCCTTATTTCTTAATGCCAGGAGAATTTCTTTGTACCAAATAGGGAAGAAATTATATATTGCTAGGATTTTGTTTAATTATCAAAGTCTAACTTAAATTTTATTTTTCTTTCTCTTAGCGGAGTTAGTTACAAAACTTTACGAGGCAGCTGTGAAGAAAGTGCCTAATAGTGAGGAGTATCACTCTCACCTCTTCATGGCCTATGCCAGAGTGGGTGAATACAAGAAAATGCAACAGGTAACTTGATCCCCAAACCTACTGGGCTACGGGATTTACTTTTAGAGCTAAAAGGTCTCTTTCATGTGATTGACTGCATTGTGTATGTAGAGTTGCACTTACATATTTGTACATGGAACTCAGTCAATTATTTCATGTTGAAAGATGAACTGTTCAGGTTCTTTAAATATTTCATTAGGGAAAAAGTTGATCATTTTCCATCTTTTGTGGCATAATGACATGTTTTGTTTACTTCCGTTAAGTTTACTTCAAAGTGTCTCCCACTGCATCAGATTGCTGTTAAATTGACAGAAATGGGAAAAAAAAATCTAACAAAAATTAGAGTATAGAAAAAGTAATTATTTTTTTCAGAATTATTTTATTTAACTTTATTTATTTACTTAAGCTTGACCAGAGCGGGACAGAGCGAGAGAAAGTGCGAAAGCAAGCTGCCAGGTCCAGGACTCAAACTATGGTCAGCCAGTGCCCTTAACCACCACGCCACCTGCTGGCCTCACTCATATCTAATTTATAAATGTAGCTGTTTATAAATGTTATATATTTATAAATGTAACTGAGATTTTTAGAAATATCTTCTAGTGGAGGGACCAGCAGTTAGCGTAATGGCTATGTCACTGGACTCCCATGTAGTTGACCACGGTTCGTGTCTCGGACTTGGTGGCTTAAAACTCACGCCAGGCGTGTGTGCGTGCGTGCATGCATGCCCAAGATCCCGAGAGGAGAATGGAGGAGAAGGGATTGCGGCATGGCCATTCCCCCTGGGGGGTGATTTCTCACTTTCTGTCTCTCTGTCTCTGTCTATCTGGCGAGCGCATGCGCCCTATAGCAAAATCCTCTCCAAAAAAAAATATATATATACATATATGTATCTTCTAGTGGAAAAGAGTCTCCATTGCCTGAGGTACTTATGTTTTTTGTTTTTTGGCTTTTTGTTTTTGGTTTTCCTGTGGCAGTTTATTTGCCAGTTTTAAGTATTCTTTGTATTCAGTGAAGAAGCATCATTTGAATATGTTTGAACCAGTGTAAGGGTAAAGCTGCTGTCCCAGAGAGATGAAACCAGCATTAATAAGCTAAGAAGAAGTTATGATATCAAGCTAGAATTTTTAAATTTTTTTATTGTTATTTTTTTTTAAGAGATTTTTGCTGTAGGGCACATGCACTCCCCAGAGAGATAGAGACAGAAAGTGAGAAATCAACCCCTGGGGCATTGGCCATGCTGTAATCCCTCTTCCTCCATTCTCCTCTCAGATCTTGGGCACACCCAGTGTGAGGTTTAACCCGCCAGATCTGGGACTCTGTCGTCTACATGGGAGTGCAGCGATGTAACCATTGTGCCATCTGCTGGTCCCTAATACTATTATTTTTAATTTGCCAAGGGGCACATGAGCTCAACAGATAGACAGAGAGAATATCATTTTTACTTCTAAGAATATGTTGTAAGCGAAATATATGAAATGACTATTCATAGGGGATATCATTAAAGAAGTTATGGTCCATCTTTAGTGTAGAATAAAATGTAGTACATCTCCCCCACCCCCTAATACCGACTGTTTTTATTTGTTGACAAGTGAGATCATCTGGTTTTAAAATAGTCTCGTCCTCCTGCTCCCCTCTCACCTTCCTTTTTAAAGAATATATCAGGGTCCAGTAGGTGATGTGATGGCTAAGGTACTGGACTCTCACATGGCCAACTGCAGTTGGAGGTCTGGACCTGGCGGCTTGCTTTCTCACTTTCCTTCTCTCCCTCTCTCTCCTCTCTCTCTTTCTCTTGTGAATGCATGTGCCCTGTAGCAAAAAAGAAAAAAGGTAAATAAATAATCATTTAAAAAAATAATATACCATATTTCTTTGTTTTCTTTTTTTTTGAGAGGTTTTTGCTATAGGGTGCGTGCGCTCGCCAGACAGAGAGAGACAGAAAGTGAAAAATCACCCCCCACGGGTGATGGCCATGCCGCAAATCCCTTCTCCTCTATTCTCCTCTCTGAATCTTGGGCACATATGCACATGCGCCCGGTGTGAGTTTAAGCCACCGGGTCCCGGATTCGAACCACAGTCAACTACATGGGAGTTCAGCGACATAGCCATTACACCAAATGCTGGTCCCTATACCTTTTTTTT